GAGGAGGCTTCTGTTCATTTTTTTAACAGTTTGTCCACCTCATGGTCATTGCTGAAAGAAATCTATGTGGATTTCTAAAGACCTTATAACAATATCCTGGAGCTATTTAAACATTAGAGTTATTAAAATGAATATTTCTATTAGGGTCTTTTCTTCCCTTGAGTCTACTGCTATCTGACGAGTATATATACTCTCATTCTCCTCTTTATTTTCTTGGTGTCAGATCAATCATACACCATCCCAACTCAAGGTGAAACCCATCAAAGTGTCATCCCCCCATTGTCAGTGATTCACAAGAAACTCCGACACACAGACGGGCAGGCAGACAAACAGAAAGACAACATCAACAAGCGAGTTAGGGGGAAAACAAACAGCCGCGAGGCCTGGAGAGATTAATCTGCTTTACTGCAGTTCCTCAAGAGGAAAACTGGGGAACTTCTCCGAGAACACGACTCGCTGCCATAAAGCCAGCCCATAAACATGCAGAAAAGATTAGGTCGCTTCAATCACTGAGATAAGATAAGTTGGTGAAACTTTGCTCAGAAGTTAGTGGGTTGACAAACCTCATGAGGTGGCTTTTTATGTAAATCAGATTTTAGCAGAGCGGCAGAGTCGGCGCCTACGTTCGCCATGCTGTGGACCGCGAGTCTCTGCGTCCTCTGCGCCCTCTGCGCCTCATCGGTCCTCGGCGCGCCGGTAAACAACGAGAGACAGAAGGTGCTGCTGATCTCATTCGATGGTTTCCGGTGGGATTACGACCGCGACGTGGACACGCCGAACCTCGACCGAATGGCCGAGGACGGCGTCAAAGCCCAGTATGTCACCCCTCCGTACCTCACCCTCACCAGTCCGACACACTTCACCCTCTTGACAGGTAAAGAGTTTCATTTTCTACAGCAGCGCTTCTACTTAGCAGGGGATCTGCATATCATGACAGAGGAGTAACCGCTCTGAGTTTACTTTGCAAGTATTGAAAAAGCCACAGGAAAAAGGAATTAGTTGTAATTGAATGTCCCAGGGTCCAACGGCTTTTATAGCTGAGTAAGATGATTATGCTTGGATGACTGAGGGAAGAATTCTCTGCTCCTTTTTTTTTATTTTTTATTTTGACTCTCGAATCATCAGCGCCTGCTAAAAGAAATTTAACTTCCTTGAAATTAAATTCTTCTAATCTCCGAAGTTGGTCGTAAGACCTTGTCCAAAAGCGTCATGCCACTCAGCCCGTTAAGTTGATAGAATTTTTAATGTGAATGTGTCACGCTCTAAATAATGAGAGCGAGCCGACTGACAGCGATTCTCTTCCGCAGGCCGCTACATCGAGAATCACGGGGTAATCCACAACATGTTTTTCAACACAACCACCGGAGAGAAGAAGTCTTACTATCAGACTCAGTTTGTGAATCAGTGGTGGGACAATGGCACTCTGCCTATCTGGATCACAGCACAGAGACAGGTCTGCGCAGCACAATTTCCATCTCATCACTGTGAGAGACTGTTTTGCTGTTTACAGAAATAGAAACCATTTCTCTTGACAAAACACCTCTGAAGGCTCGCCGAATGATTTCAGGAAGATCACCGCAGTTATGCTGCAAATAATTCTGCAGGCGTCGATGTTAACGGCATGCAAATGACAGCTGCTCGAAGTTTGCTTCAAAGGTTAAGCTGTAGGTTTAAGGAAAATTAATCAAAATCCGGCTATTACTGATGTGCTTTCCTAGCATGTTGACCCACAGTATGAACAGATGTAGCTTTCACATACTTGTCAGCGTATCAAGTGCATATGTCATGTTTATGTTAATGCGGCCTTGTTTTTTTCTAACCTTCCAGGGCCTAAAAGCTGGCTCTCTTCACTTTCCTGGCACAGCTTCCCGTTACCAGGGACAGGTTGCTATGCTGCGGGAAGTGGAGCCGCAGCTTTACAACTACAAGAACGAGACCGCTTGGCGAGAAAACACAGATAAAGTGATGAGCTGGTTCAGAGACCGGAACATGGACTTTGTTTCCTTCTACTTTGGCGAGCCTGACGGCACAGGCCACAGATACGGTCCGGACTCGAATGAACGTAGAGAGATGGTGAAACAAGTGGACCGAACGGTGGGCTATATTCGGCAATCAGCCGAGCGACACGGGCTGACTCACCGCCTCAACATCATCATCACGGCAGACCACGGCATGACCACCGTGTATCGTAATGGTCTGGTGGAGGAAATCACCCTGTCAAAGATCCCAGGCTTTTCATTCGGGGACCTGTCCTTCCACTTGGTGGACTACGGACCTTCCGGGATGCTGTTGCCCAAGCCAGGCAGGCTGGAGGCGGTTTACAATGCCTTGAAAGGGGCTCATCCACATCTCCACGTGTACAAGAAGGAGGACATGCCAGAGCACCTTCGCTTTACTAAAAACGATCGCATCCTCCCCATCATTTTATGGGCCGACCCTGGATACGTAATCAACGGGGTACGTTGACGGATGCTCGATTGTGTTTTTCACACTCTCACCTGACAAGCTGTCAGACAAGATCTTCAGCAGCAATCATACGTGCCAAAATCTAACATTTACTCATGCCAGGGCATCACACAGTGCCATTTTTGTCAGCAGCTGCTGTGTGGTACAACTGTACGCAGCAAGATTTCCCTCGGAGAGATAACAAGCTCGAAAGTCCACAAGTTGGAGAAGTGGAGGGTAAAGTTATAGGTTTATCAGCCAGGAGATGATAGTTTTGATTGTGTTTAGACCTTTAGAGTCTTTTGCACTTCGATGGTTAGCTTCAGAGACTCTGAACATCCCCCGAGTCAAAGGTATGAGGATCAGGGTTGAGGCTAAAATGAGCAGTTTGGTTAACATTAACCCTTTGTACAGAATTACTGCCTGTTTGGGTCACCAAACAGAAAAAAATGCAATGCCTAAATATATGAGAACCCTAACCCTAGATAGGTCGCTGGTGACCTCGGGGATGTCCAGATCTTAAAACCACTTGTTCAGAGTCAAGAAATCATCAAGGTTGGCATTACAGCTGCTTTACAACAGTAAGGATGCATATTAATAATAGCAAACACAACCAAACTAGAACTAATAAACTCCTACTTATTTATCTAAGCCGGTGCATGAGAAGCAATGGCCTTTACAAAGCTGCAACAATATGGTCATTTCATAGGATTCCAGTGACTCGAGAAAGTTTACAACCACAAAAAGTGTGGTAGCAATTCTAGCTAGTTTTATAGTTTTACAGCAGCCTGCAGGTTTAAATTATGAAATGTAATTATGAACGTGTGTTTCAGCTATTTTACAGACATGAAAGAAATCTAACGAGTAGGATAATGAATTACGGTCTCCTTGGAGGACTTAAGTAACGTCCTTACTTTTAAGAAAAATGTATATATGTAATAATTACTCTTGAGTAATGACAACAAAAAGGGGGAAGTTTCTCCAACAGCACAAAATGTCTTTGCTATAACTGCTACGCTATCAAAGCAAAGCTAATGAGACGCAATTAAAATCGATAAATGATATCGATAACGGAATCTGAATCGATAAAGTCTTATCAGTTCCTCTCCCTTTCATTCGCCCTCAACGTAGAGAGCTGACATTTGTTCTCATGCAACATAATAAACTGCAAAGTGCAGCTTCGGCAAACATTCGCACTTCTTCTTGTAACTTATTAACAACCAGGCAATTTATGTGATTATGACCTACGTAGGTGGTCATAAGGATTCTAAACGACAAGCACTTCTATAGCGATAAAGAGCCAGATTAATTATCTGTACGCGCCATCTGGGCTTTTTTTCTACAAATTTCCTCATTTCTTGACTACAGAAATAATTAAATTACTTAAATTCTGCTCATTGAAAATACTTAAACTGGGCTCTTTTCAGCCAGACGCAAGGAGTTAAATTCTAATCTTAGTACATTACAATTTTAATCAAGTGCATTTGCACGTCCTCAGGATAATCCAGGCCTTGCTGATGACATGCAGTACGCTCTCAAATGCTTCATGAAGCTATTCATGCCTCAAAATTCAAAATTAGCATTTTCATTTGGCTCCACACTCACTCAGTCACTCTGCTGTGCAGCAACTTTGCAAGCGGATGTGTCCATCAGTACTGAGAACCATTAAATCACAACTTAATTTAAAAGAGGAAATTTTAAAATTGTGGAATGTCTTAAAAACCCTGAAAAAGAGGACAAAATGTGTTAAATCCCAGGTCTGTAAGTTGGGACTGGAAATTTGGCTCTTTGTTCCCTCCATTTTTTTAATATACTCATTTTAGTTTGATCCAAGAGAAGGAAAAAAATGTCGAGATGGTTACATAACATAGAGACAACTGTGTATCCTAAATTCTGGAAATGTGTTGGAAAACTACTATATATAACATTTAATTATGAAACCATTTGAAATCTTTAAAGTATTTCATGAAAATGAACATTTTCAAGTTGGATTAACGTTCTCATTTAGGCATTATCACTGGCTGGCAGCAGTCACAAAGGGTGAAAGGGCTTTCATTGCACAATGTAGACAATCCGCTTTGGCTTGGTCAATACCTCCCTCTGCTGACTGACTGAGAGTAGACCAAGATGTGGACGTCTGTTGGGGTTTTATTTTATTTGACTACCTTTTGAAAGTTAGATTCGAATTGAATCTATCAAACTGGGTCAAGAGAGTTAAGTTATCCATCCTGTCCTTGCAGTATTTCCCAGTTCAATTCAACAAGGGAGAGCATGGCTATGACAACCAAGCGATGGACATGAAGCCTTTCTTCAGGGCAGTGGGTCCAGCGTTTCACAAAAACCTAAAGGTGGGGCCCTTTGAGACGGTGAACATCTACCCCTTGATGTGTCACATCCTGGGCATCGAGCCGGAGGTCAATGACGGCCATCTCGACGCCACCAAACACATGCTGGTCACTAGCACTGCTGCTCGAGGTGAGTTTATATCAAACTAATGAGTCTCTCCCCGTGGCACTGAAAGTGTGTCGCTCCAACACCTGCTCCTTCATTACTGGGCCGACCATCCATCATTTCTGACTTTAGTTGTGTCCAAATCAGATGTAGGGTTGCTATAGGTTACAACTACAAATTACATCTGGTGTTCTCGAGGCGAGTTTGGAAACATTTTTCCTCCAATAAAGTCTAAAGAGCTCATATATGAAAGTAAAGAAAAGTAGAAAAGTTCAAAAAGATCATCTAATCTTCATAAAAACAGCAGAAATCGGCACCTTACTACTGCTTTTCTGCTTTTCAGTCATTTGATATCTTCAGCCCAAGACCCAATGGTTGCTGATGAATACTAAAACATTAATACAGGTTACAAATGTATCCTTTGATTTGGCTCGCAAAACAAAAGGAAAGAATTAACTGGTTAATTTGTTGATTTAATACACATTTGGTGTTTTATTGAGCATCTGACTGGAAAAATGGCAAATGTGGGAGTGAGTCAGAATACACTACATAGTAATAAATGAATATGTCAGCCAGAACAACTCACTGATGACTCATTGATGTGTTAAGTCAAAGTGAATCTCAAACATGTATCATCTCGCTGATGTAACAAGGCGAAGAAATGCTTATATCGAAACCAGATATTATTTAGTTAGTACAACCCACCTCTGATCTAAATAATAACAATAATAATTCTTCAATTACTCACACGTTGGTGTGTCTACTATCTGGTATCATCAAACTAAGGTAAGATACTAAATGTTATCGATATGATCACATATGTTTTTCTCGCTTACTTTGATGTGTGATGTAATAATGAAGTCATCAGGTCAGGATGCACTCTGTGCCATTTCTTTTATTCAATTTTTATTATTGTTCTTTCTATTAAAAATTAGGTTCATATTAAAAATAAATAACAATATTACTTACTTTGACATAAAAGGATTTTTCCCACCACTTGGGCCGGCCCAAAACTTGTCAGACTGTCTATGAAAACTCAGGAATTTTTATAAAAATAAACCTCAGACCAGTTAAAACTTTTTTTAAAGTTTACCTTTACACAATAAAGGTGATCAGCAAAGGTAAGCAGTGGACCAAACTTACAATTTACCAATTTACAGGCGAAGTCAGGTTTTTTAAAACCTGATATGGAAAGTGTTCACTGTGTGTTCATTATATCAGTGACTTTATATTTACAATAACAGATTGAAGCAGGACGACACGGTTGTTCCCTGACAAACACTTTCTTCAGTCCTTACCACTGCAGGCCCCTCCCCTATTAGCCACACCCCTAGACTGGTCACCACACAGATAACTGTTATGCTGGACAGCCATTAATATGCACCGATCTCTTCTTAGACACCTTTGCC